CCATATGGTGCTAAGGGCTGAATCGTCAAGTCCCCAGCGTCAACCCAGTGGTGAACATCTTGGCCCAAGCCTCATTTTACAGACGAGGAAACTGGAGCACAGAGTGGCCAAGCAAGCTGCCCCGGGATAACACAGCTAGTAAGCGGCAGAGCAGGGATTGAAGCACAGACTGTCTGATTCTACAGCCCATGATCACACACCATTATAAATACCAAAGTGCCTCTCAGCAGGGCTTATGGACAAATAACACAGCTTCTACCCCTAAGGTGCTCTCCATCCAGAAGGCAGGAAGTCTTTCATGATGTTGCTGTTATATTTATTTTTCCATCTGCAATGTTTGCATTTGAGGTGGCTCTCCGAATTACCTTTTCTCCTGCCATTGCATGGGATCGAATAAATATTGGTTGGAATTATCTACTTTGATCCCGACAACTACACCACGGTGTAGTCGTTATCAGCCCATCTCGCAGATGGCAGAATCGTGGTCTCAAGTCCCCAAGTCGATTAAGAGCTTAGATCCTTGGCCTATCAGACTCCACATCTTGTCGATTAACCCCCAGGCTGCAGAGTCTGTGTGGGGTCCTCTCCCCCACATGCTCCTGCCTGCCTGCCTGCCTGCCTGCCTGCCGTGGCTGCTCACCTCTCAACTTTCGGAGATCTGAATCTACATCTGTTACGTGGAGACCTGAGGGCTTTTTTATCCTGGTTCAGATTTCGCAGATGGTGGGGTGACAGGGGAGATCATTTACCAGAGCCTCAGTTTGGAGGAGGGATACCATGGAAACAGGCAAGAACTGTATGATTTGTTCTGTTTTGACCCTATTTTCATTTGGATGGCTGGATATAAATCAGCGCTTCATATCCGACATCAACCACAGCTGTCTGAGACAACCACTAGATATTCAGGGAGGTGAGGCACCTGTTCAAGGCCACCAACCTGGACACGGGCTGACCAAGGAATTGAACTCAGGTATTCCTGACTGCAAAGCTCCCCTGTTTCCTGCATTTTATATAATATGTTGTCACCAACATTACACTATCACTTATATCAGTAGCTCTCAAGGTGGCAGGTCACAAACCAGCTGCACCAGAATCACATGGGAAGCTTTTAAAAGTTCAGATCCCTTTGACCCATGACCCATCTCTAAGACTGATTCTGTGTGTCCCGATCAATGTCTGGGAATACAAAGGGGGTTTCTGGTATGTGCTTGTTCTGTTTTTGCTTTAAGCTTCCTGGGTGATTACAAAGACCAGCCAGGCTTGGGAAACACAGCCAGGAATGCAACACACACCTGCCTGCCCTCCACCTCCGTATCAAACACAGTCCATGGACCTCTTCTCACAAGGTCCGTGAGGACAGCCCATCCCTGCGACAGATGATGTCAATGACTCACGTGAAGGAGGTATGGAATCCAGAATGGCCATGGTGGCGAGACGTTCTCAACACATTCTCCTTTCCAGAAACTTCTGTAGGAAGAAGTATAAGTAGAAGGTCTTCACCCAGGGCAGAAACACTCAGTCATATCCCTTAAAATTATACATCCTCAAAACTTAAAAGTTCGACAATACCAAGTATTGGGGAGTCGTTGGAAATAGATATTTTTTAAAAATGTTTTTAAATAAATAAATATTTATTTTGAGAGAGAGAGAGAGCATGCGAGCTAGAGGGGGGCAGAGAGAGAGGGAGAGAGAAAATCCCAAGCAGGCTCCACGCTGTCAGCACAGAGCCCAACGTAGGGCTCGATCTCACAAACCGTGAGATCATGACCTGAGCCAAAATCAAGAGTCAGATGCTTAACCGACTGAGTCACCCCAGTGCCCTGGAAATAGGTATTCTTTAACAGTACTGGGAGGAGGAAGGTAGAAATTGGTCATCCCACTGGAGAGGAAATTTCAGATTCTATATACAGTACATAAAAACCTTAGTATGTCCATATCTAAATTAGTTTCTATATTCCACCTTAGAGAAACACTCACGTTAAGTGCAAAAATAAAAAGCACATTCGATGAAGGTCAATTCTAAAAATTGCAAACAGCCTAAATATCCATCAAGAGAGGGTGGTTAGATAAAGTCCCTCTCTCCGATACTACAGGGCCATGTAACTGAACGTGATAGGTCTGGACGCACTGACATAAAGAGATGCTCAGACATACCATCAAGGGGAAAAGCAAACTGCAAACTAATTCAAGCAGCAGTACGCTTTGGTGTGTGTGTTTAAAGAACACTGTATATACACAAAAAGACATAACTCTACATGTACACATTGAAGTGAAATGAAAAGACAAATTGTGAAATGGTGCCCTTCAACCCAGTCACAGTCTTTGCCTCTGGGAAGCAGACTCTGGACCTGCAGACAGGGGTGGAACTGTGTCCACAGGGCATGAATTCTCTACTATAATAATATAGTCGTGTGCACGGTTGTGACCCGTCAGCTTGTTGTCTTTGGAGCCATTCATCTCTTGGAAGAATCAGAGTCTTGAGTTTATTTTGTCAATAGTCACAGCCTGTGTTAATGGAGGAAAATTTTTGTTATTGACTCAAGGGTACAGAGAATGACAGCACTCTTGGGTACCAGGTCCCTACCATACAACGAAGGCTTGACTTCAGGAGATGTGTGGGGCTCCCCGTGGGAGCTGAGAGAGTGAGGATTTGCAACATGGTTGGACAGCGAAAAGGGTGGTCCCATCCCTTGACACCTTCTTCCTCCTCCCTCCCCACCATTCTCATTTGGAGCTTGATGGAGGAACCATGGCATGATGAACTGGTTCCGACCACCCAGCCACGGACCAGTTGCATGAAACGGTTTGCCCACGGTCATCATCCTCGGGACCCGATGGGATGCTGTATGTTCAGAGAATGTCATTTTGTGTTCTTTCAAGTCTCAGACTTTGTCCTCTGACTTCCAGAACAGGAACCCAGCCCCGAGACTACCTCCGCTCGGGTCATCTTTCCTACCACCTCCCCATTTGCAATCCGGAAAGTCAAACTTGTTGCGTTTGAGAAGCAGGCATCCCTGAGCCCAGTGCCGTGCAGCCCAGCTATTTCTGTGGGCTGTGTGCCAGCCCGGCCCCCAGCAACCTGCCTCGGCTGTCGGCACAACTCCGACGTGTCAAAACTTTCGGAGAAGAGTCATTAGTCTCAGAGAGACGAGGAAGGAAGGATGTTTTGCCTGGGGCATCTCTTTGAAAAGGTCTAACTTTCTAAAATGGTAAATAAGCCAGACTTCTTTTGCGGGGGTGCACCGAGGGGCAGAAGTGGCTCCGTCAGGGTATGACCTCCGGGAGCCAGCTGGTGTGTGAGACATCATTACTTCCCGAAGTTTTATCCCTTTCTCCGCCGCGTTTCTGCGGCGCAGCCTGGGAAGCCAGCTCCGAGAACAGCCTGCAGAGCTCCGATTACACAGGCAAGCACCGCGCTGAGGATTTTATTAGGTGGAGAGAGTTAAAAAAAAAAAAAAAAAAAAAAAAAAAGCCAGAACACTAGCTGGGGGGAGAAAAGCCCTTCTGCCTTTAGATAAAGGCAAAAATTATTTTATAAGCGTCTGGAGCAGCAAAGCTTGTGAAAGGTGAATATGCCATTCAGCCGGGCTCCTAATCTTCAGTTTGCAGGGCCCACATTTCTGAGTCAGCTCGTGGAGACTCCAATGTGACCAGGGAAAGGAAGATTAGGCCTAACAAGATATGACTGAAAGTCTCAGGTCGCCTGTGACAGCCTCCAAGTTCGGATTCCCTGCCTCTGCTCTGAGGTCTAAATTTTAGGGTCTAGTTACCGCTTACTTAAATCCCATAAACTCATGTTCCCTGGGTATTCATCTTTTATCCTCCTGTTCTCCTGGAATAAACTGCTCCAGAGCTAAACACCTTCACCAGTAGTGGCTTTGGAAGAACCACCAGTAGGCAATCGTCTCTCATTTTAAAGAAGGGAGGGGGGGAAGGAGGGCAGGGAGCAGGGAGGAGGGGTGTGTGCCTCGCTGAAACTGTGCAAGCTGCAAGCAGAGCCCTGCTGTGAATTCGGGCCTCGGGGGCAGGCGACGTGCCCCAGCTGCTCATGTACGTGGGCGGAGGTGCAGCGAGCAGGGCAGTTCCGCTGCCCCTACAGTCTCTCTCAAACCCACATTCTTCCCTGGTCCCCACGGCCACTTCCCCCATCCATTCCATTGTCACGTCTCCTCTCTGTAACCATCACCCCTGTCCCCCTGCCTCTGTCCCCCTCTCCCAACCTAGCTTAGAGCTGCTGTGGTGGCATCTCTGTCTTCCTCACATACAGTAAAACCTTGGCTCGTGAGCATAATTCGTCCCGGAAACACGCTTGTCCTCCAAAGCGCTCGTGTTTCAAAGCGAATTTCTTTTTTTTTTTTTTAATTTTTTTTTTCAACGTTTTTTAATTTATTTTTGGGACAGAGAGAGACAGAGCATGAACGGGGGAGGGGCAGAGAGAGAGGGAGACACAGAATCGGAAACAGGCTCCAGGCTCCGAGCCATCAGCCCAGACCCCGACGCGGGGCTCGAACTCACGGACCGCGAGATCGTGACCTGGCTGAAGTCGGACGCTCAACCGACTGCGCCACCCAGGCGCCCCTCAAAGCGAATTTCAAGAAGCATTGGCTCAGCTGTGATCAGGTGATGTTCTGCGTCCCGTGCTGTTCGCATGGCAAGACGTCCCTCGTTCATCAAGTTAAAAGTTATGAGAAATGTTTGCTCATCTTGCAGAATGCTTGCACAAGTTACTCCCAGTCCAAGGTTTTACTGGGTTTATGGAGCACCTACTATGTGCCAGGCAACATGCTTACCACTGGGAGAAGAAATTGCAAAAAAAAAAAAAAAAAAAAAAAGGACAGACACCATCCATTACAAGCTAAATTATGTTCCCTGCCCACCCACATTCCTACATAGGAGAGCTAGCCAGCCTCCATATTTCAGAATGTGACTGTGTTCACAGATAGGGTCTTTAAAGAGGTGATTATGTTAAGATGAGGTCATGAGGGCAGGAGCTCATCCAATGTGACTGGCGTCCTTATCAGAAGAGGAGATTAGGGGTGTGCCTGAGTGGCTCAGTTAAGCATCTGACTCTTGATTTTGGCTCAGGTAATGATCTCATGGTTCGTGAGATCAAGCTCCTCATCTGGCTCTGTGCTGACAGCACAGAGCCTTCTTGGGATTCTCTCTCTCTGTCTCTTCCTCTCTCTGTCTGTCTGTCTGTCTCTCTCTCTCTCTCTCTCTGTCCGGCTCTCTCTCTCAAAATAAATAAATAACTTTAAAAAAAGGAGAAGAGATTAGGGTACAGACACATAAGATGATGTGAAGTCACACTCACAGGCCAGGGAGGGGGGAGTCAACCCTGTGACAGCTGGATCTCAGACTCCCAGCTTCCATGACTTGGGAAAATAAATTTCTCTTCTTTAAGCCACACAGACTGTGGTACGTCCTTACGGCAGCCCCAGTGGCCTAACACCCTCCATGGAGATTAGGGTTTAGTGGGGGAGACAATAATTAGCCAGATGACTATCCACCCACGTGTACAAGTAAGTACAAGAGTGAGTGATGAGTGTCACGGGGGACAACGAACGGTGAGATGCGGGTGTGAATGTGGGCACCGAGGCAGATAAATACTGAAAACAGAGATAAGAACAGACATTGAGATGTGGACGTACAAAGATCCAGGATATGGATACAGATGCAGATACAGATACAGGTGTGATGTGCATGTGGGTACTGATGTGGATATAAATAGCAACATAAATAGCACTGCTCTGGTCTCAGGTGAGCTCAGGGATCCCCTCTGAAAAAGCAACATTAGAGTCAGGATCTAAAGGAGAATGTGGTCAGGACGCCTGGATGGCCCAGTCGGTTAAGCATCTGACTTCGGCTCAGGTCATGATCTCGCGGTTCATGGGTTGGAACCCCGCGTCAAGCTCTGTGCTGACAGCTCGGAGCCTGGAGCCTGCTTCTGATTCTGTGTCTCCCCCTCTCTCTCTGCCCCTCCTGGCTCATGCTCTCTCTCTGAAAAATAAACAACTAAAAAAAATTTGAAGGAGATTGTGGTCAACTAAAAAAATGTGTATATTTGGATATATAATTTTTATGATGTATGTGGAGAGAAATTTTCAAGTAGAGAAAAAGCGTATGAGAAGTATCGAGGGCTGGAAGCAACGTGACCATTCACGAAAGCCCATCTGAGGCTGGATGGGAGGGAGCGATGGTGGAGGGCAACATGGGAGAGTCTGAAGGAGTCAGGGGCGGCCCCCACACAGCCTGGACACAGCTGACAAGGACCTTTGGGACCTGGCTCCAGGCCCTTCTGTCTTACATCTCTCCCTGTGGCATCCCCTGGAGACAAACCAAGCTACACATGGGTCTTCAAACGCTCTGTGCCCTCTCTTGCAGTCAAGCCTTTGACAAGAATGTTCCCTGGGCCAGAGCACCCGCTCACTCTTGTGTTCCGTCTTACTGATCCCTTAAGACTCAGTTCGG